AAGTTGAAAATTGTCTTTTAAAGTTACTAAAAATATCAAGCCAATCACGCTGATCGCGAATATCACTACCCTGGGTCTCAGAAATGGTATTCGGAATTATACTTTGAACTTTTTGATTTTTTAAAAAGTTCTGTGGGGAGGTACAGGGGTCAAAAATTTGAAAGTAGTCTTTAGCAAAATAAACTTATCAGATAGGTAGTTGATGTTGAGAAAGTCATGACCAAATAGTTTTTACGTAAAAATACTTTTGCGCAATAAGTCAGCTTAACGCTACTCGCCTTTTCGACTTGTCTGTATCTTCGACTAGAATTATTCTATTCAAGCAATTTCGGTATAGTTAAGTAAAATTAATGATTATGGGATCAAAACTGGATCAATTCACCGGATGTTCAGTGATATTGTAAACCCAATTTAACGGGACACACAGCCAGACTGGTATCTCAGGCGGATTGGTACATGTCTAATTTACGTGAAAGACTAGTACAAGTCCCACGTATTTCTTTTTCTAAGTACAAGTATAGGGCCAAATATTCTTGTGCGCCGACAAGTAAAATTGCAAGTACGTTTTTTGAAGTGAAAGTAAAATACTTTTCCTTGCTGTCCTTGTACTCATCTCATATTAGCCTTGTCGCTAGCACTGATTGCATATTAATGCGATTCAGTTTCAGAGTAACCAATAATGAATATTGTTATCCCTATGGGTGGGATTGGACATCGTTTTAGTAAAGAAAATTATCGTTTTCCAAAGCCGCTTATAAAAATTGTTGGAAGACCAATGTTGTTTTGGTTATTAGATCATTTAGACACCAAGGAAGACGATGTTATATACATTGGCATTTTAGTGAATCTAGAAAAGCAGTTCGATATAATTCAAACATTGAAAATGGAATATCCAAAGAAAACATTTGAAGGAATTATTATTGATTTCGAAACAAGAGGTGCAGCGGAAACACTATTTATTATATTGCAGTCGATGGAACCAGATCGCTTGAGACGAAAGACAATATCTCTCGATTGTGATACCATTTACTTCAAACCAATTATCGAAGATTTTCGTCGACTGCCAGGTAACTTGAATGCTTCGTTTTTTTTTGAAGATAATGGGGGTAAGCCTATATACTCTTACCTAAAACTCGACGAAAATATTAATGAACAAGCATGTTTTACAGTGAGAGATGTTTGTGAAAAAATAATGATTTCAAATCATGCAAACACTGGTGCTTATGCCTTTCATTCAGCCTCTATTTTAAAACAGTTTTGTATCCGGCTTTTGGATGAAGCAGTAGGACATTCAGGGGAATACTATACAACAAGTATTATCAAATTAATGATGGATCATGGTGAACGATTTGTTGGAATTCACGTTAGTTTGGACGAATTCACTTGTGTTGGAACTCCTGATCAGTTGAATCATTTTTTAAAAAGGCTAAAAACAAAAGAAAGTTCGATACCTGTTCCTCGAATCAGATTTTGTTTTGACTTAGACAACACATTAGTATCCCATCCATTCGAACATGGTGACTATGACTCAGTTGTGCCAAAACTGCAAAATATTCAACTGGTTCGAGAGCTACACAATGCTGGTCACTATATTATAATTCAAACAGCTCGCCGAATGAAGACACATCAGAGTAATGTTGGTGCAGTAATTGCTGATATAGGACGAGTAACACTGGAAACATTAGCCAAGTTTGAAATACCGTATGACGAGTTGCTGTTCGGAAAACCGTATGCTGATGTTTATGTGGATGATTTGGCTATACATGCTTTGATTGATACGGCTAAAGAGATTGGCTGGTCACTCGATGAGAATAAATGCGATTTCTCAAACCAGAACCAGATAAAAGGTTTTCTATCCTCTCGACATTTCCATACAGTTCAGCAGTTGGACAATTCTATCATTAAAAGTTCATCAAGTGACTGTATGCAAGGTGAAGTTTACTTTTATCAAAATATCCCACCGATTATCGGTGATATATTTCCAAGACTAGAACGCGTTGAAACGAACAAAGATGCTGGCATTACATCTATAGTTATAGAAAAAATCAATGGTATTACCTATTCACATTTGTTTACAAATTTATGCTTAACAGAAGGTCGGCTATTGAAATTTCTATCATCATTAAAACGTATTCATTCGTCACTACCAGCAGAACTTAAGGAGCTGAAATCAAATATTTATGCAAATTATTCGAGTAAAATTCTATCACGCTTCAATAAACATATTGATATATATACGAATCTAGATGAACATTTTAGAAAGCATTCCGAATCATCAATGATCCCGTCGAAAGAATTGGCAGATCACTTCATCACATATTTCACATCATATGAGATGTCTAAATGTGGTCAGCATAATCCAATCATTCATGGTGATCCAGTATTCACTAATGCTTTGCTAACCCCAGATAGCCGAGTTATCTTTTTGGACATGAGGGGTTCGTTGGGAACAGAAGTTACTTTACAAGGAGATTTGAATTATGATTTGGCTAAAGTCTATCAATCATTAACTGGATACGATTTTATTTTATTGAATAAAAGCGATTCCCTTTCAACAGCAAGAGTGCAGAAATATATTTCTCAGCTCGTTGGTACGTTCGAGAAGTTTCTTTCGAGTGAATATATCAATGCTGTAAGTTGGAGGGATTTTAAAATAATTACAGCGCAATTCTATTTTACTTTAATACCATTACACAATAATTTTCAACATCAAACACAGTTTTATGAGCTTGCAGTAAAACTTTATCATGCGAGTAAGCTGGAAAAACTTCACTGTGATAGAACAAGCGAATAGTGAAAAAGAACACTAAACACGATTTTCAATGGATTATAAACTTAATATTATCTAAAAAAACCGGTTATGTTTATCATCTGCACTCCGTTTCCCCGAGAGATGCAAACACACAATATATATTTCCGTACAACATATGAAAATAAATTCACTGAACTCTGCGTTTGCATGTGTTGTTTATTTTATTCAGATGTTTTCACCAGACTTTGCATGCACTTTTTCGAACAAATTCAAACTTTTTCCTTTCAACGGATAACGCAAAAATGTAATTACGAGGGGTTTATGGGAACCACTTCTTTATTTTCCGGTGTAGAGCATATTCGAATTTGGGATTTTAAATTTCATATACCTGATGCTATTGAGCCAAAACCGAGGACCCATAACTAGATAAAACGGGCCATTTTTTCTTCATAATAAACATTAGCGAAAAACTATACTGAATGACGCAGATAAACGAGTTGATCCTTTTGGCACTAAATTCAAATAGATTTGGCAAAATTGCATGTATCTCCGTCCTAGCACGATAAAAATAAGCAAATGAGCTATATATCTCAGAAGAGATCACCGTGTGAGTAAAAATTGACCTTCTTATAGCATGAGTTATAATATTCAACCCGAATTATAACATTTAGCCTACTTATCATCAACTAACTAATTCAATTTGATCAAATCATTGATTCGTTGCTTCGATAAATTAAGTGGATATTTTAATTCTTTAAATCTATGAGATAGATAAATGCGCTTCATCCCTCCTTATTGTTCAAATATTTGTGAGGTGCATGCACAGCAAAACTCGAGCAAAATTTTTTATTTGCTGTTTTTCCCGTCATCGGATAGAAAGTTTTGCGGCGATGACAAATACGTGGTCGTTCGTTTTTTTAATGTCTCCTGGAGCACGAAAAATCAAAAAATCCTACGTTTTAGTTTTTTTTCGAAAAATTGACTTTTCAGGGTCTTCCGTTGATCGAATTGGCTTCAAAAGAATATATTCTGATTCAGCTCTTCACGCTGAATAAGAATATATCTTCTGCATAATTTTTAACTTTACTGCTTATCCGCCAGGGCCTCCAGAAACAATTTTTTTGATACTGTTAGAAGCTCTTTTCGTAAACTTTTCACAGCTTTTTTCTGAGCTCTTAGGATCGATTACTTAACGTCATTCGATTCGTTAGATGCTCATCTACAAAAGTATAAGCGTAGATTTTTGAAATTTTTATCCTTATGAAAAAAAACAGGTCTTACGAAAAACGTTGCTAAAATTTGAAAGTTTTTATCAACTGTCGCAAATTCTCACATAACAGAACTGAGACGTTAGCAAACAGGTTATCAACCATGGGGAACTCAATAGATATCCTGATAGGATCTTCGGAGGGTTTTAGAGATCTAGAAGTGTGGATGTGAGAAATAACCACAATACAGATTAAGGATGCGGGTGTGATAAGCAACCACAATACAGGTTGCATTTCTGTTATGTATTCTTTTCTCTCACATTATTAAACTCAGTTATCAGCGAGACAGCAACGTGATAATATGACAACAGAACGGAACACAAGGATAATCTCCCTCCGATGGAATCGAGCCAACGTCTTCTGCTTTCCGGGCAGCTGTACTACCAATATACTAGAAAGGAGCGTGCATTATTCATTTGCTCCGTCTTACGATCGAAGGGGAACACTTCGGTTGTAACAATTTCATAATTGCAAAGTAATTATCAAGTGGCAAAGTATTAATACAAATGGTCCAAAAATCAATATGAAATATTGAAAATATGGAAAGAATCTTATTCGAAATAAAAATTTTCAGGAAAACTCAAAAATTAACGTGTGGGTGAGAGCGTGGCTGTGAGAAATATCCGCAATCAGTTTCTTTAGTAAGATATATCAATCTGAATGAAGAACTTAAGAACATCGAAATGAATTTGATAGGTGGTATTTCTTTTTGTATAAGTTAGGTTCCGTTTTAAAGCGTGATCTGTTATGATAGTTAGAGTCCTTTATGTTAATGGTGCCTCTTATGATGACTCGTCAATAGAGAAAAAGAAAAGGATGATATATGTCATGATCAGTAGGCTGGTGAACGGTGACTAAGCGTCTGATTCTAAAACTCAAATGATTTAACACACTTATGCATTAAGATATAGACACCTATTCTGCATGATAAGTCTAATTTATATATAAAGCAATATTGACGTAGGTATTTAGAAAAATATATATCGTGGGTGAATCGTTTTCGCGAGCTACGAACTCATCCTATGAGAGATAAAATGCATAGCAACGCGTCTAATAGATGAATGGATGCGGGAGTTTCTCGGTTATAAGATCTTCTCTTGTTTTGAACTGTGTTTGAAATGTCAGGTGATTGTGGTATTTGTTTAAAAACAACTAGTAATAAAAAAAGAACAACTACATATTGTAGGGCCGCTATGGCTGAATGGTTAAGATGTTCGGCACATATCCACAAGATAGTGTGTTCAAACCTCGGCGCCATCATCCATAGAATAACCTTGGACAAGTTACTAACGGCTGCTTTGTCTCGGATCACCCATCCGATAGCACGCTGATTACATGTGACATACATAAAAATATCCTCATGGATAGTATGTGGTTAGTCAGTATGCATGGGAAGCTTAAGTAATTAAGCGGAAGGAACTCTGAGTCAGGCCGGCCTTCTGTCCAGAGCTGCAGCTAGTAATAGTTGTAGCAAAAAATATCGGGCTCTTGAAATTGTCTCCGGACAACACCCTATACTGAAAGGTAGCCGCAAGGCAAGGGTTTTCTTTCTTTCTTTCTTTCTACATATTGTAACAAGTGATACCGAAGCTAAAATCCAATTTGGCTATTATTCTGTTTATAAACAAGATTTAAAAAGATCTCTTCTAAATACAAAAGTTCATCGAAAATGCTACAAAAAATATCAGGATCGGTGGTATAATCAATTCATTAGAAATGAGTTCTGTGTATCTTTTTTGATGATAAGTAGTCGCTGTATCAGTGAGGGAAGTGTTTCTACTAAAGTTTCCCAGCGAATAAGCAGTAGCATTATGTAGTTGAAAATAGCATTTCCTGTATAAAATTTAAGTTTCGATGAAGGCGCACACTTTTTATATATTCAGACGCGGTAATTGATAACTTGAGTGCTTTATAATACATTGTTAATATTCGCGATTCTTGCTCACTTTTTAGTAATTTTTCTTTTAGATCTTTGGATGCGATCTTTTTATCAATTAATGGAATTACGATCATGGATTCAATAGAAAGCTTTCGCATATGGGTGAGTGACAGTTACTTTGAACTTTCAGATAAGTTTCACAATGCACGTCAGCGATTGTTGTCAATTGGTAGCTGCAATGTGCTGATTTCTAGTAAGTTTTCAATATAATCAGAGTTGTTTTCAGAGAAAATTGTCATCTATTAATAACTCACACTTTTATGTTTAGGTTTCATCAAACAAAGTCTTCAAAGTAAATACAGAATGTGCTGAATTACAAATGCTATTCGCTTAATATCCTATGTGACAATTAGGCATGCACCGAACCCCTGGTACAAACCGGGTAGTTCGGGTCAGTACTACACGGTTTCGGTACTACCCGGGTTTCATCATACCAAGATTCGGTACTGGGATTCTCTGGTCTACTTGTTCGTATCTGTAACGAATTTTGTTTGATGGTAAGTGGATAGTTTATATTCGTTACTACTGCAGCTTTTATTTTTATTTTTATTTGTGATCACAAAGAGAAACTGGAAGAGTAGCGTTACCGCTATCCTCGGTGTATACGATGTTAGTTACACTACTCCACTCTGTAACTTTCCAGTTCTAATTACATTCCAGTTCTGTTCCAGTTCTGATATATAATACAATGCACTCGCTTTATATACGTGCGCGCGCGAGAGAGAGAAGAATAGAAAAAGATATAATCGGCATATGCGCATTACGTAGGTTATGTCTAAAGATGTAATCACGTTACATAAAAGTAGATGGATAACATTAAGAAGTAAAACAGAAAGATTGATGAGAGTACTATGTTATACAACGCCTATGGCATATTGCATAACACTCATCATAATGTATTCCTCCTTCCTAATACCGGATCAGAGGATATTCCAAAGAAATGGAAACGCAGATATGCGAATAATAAAGGATGTCTACGCATTATTGGCACAGTATCCTTCGAAGCATAGAAATGAATAATAAATAGCACCAATGGATATATATAGTAGGTGATAAAAGATGAATTCATGTCAAAGATCCTCTACCTTGCTCAACCTATCATAGTTAATCTCATTTATCAGGAACGGATACAGTTAAATGAGCATCTCTTAATATTTATCGTGGACTCAACTACAAGAAATCGTCGAATGGTTCTCCATATTAAGTTTTCCGGAAATGCAGATGTATGATTTTTCCCATCGGTCTAGTAAGAATATCAATACTAATAATGCTGATATCGATATCAAAAATACTAAATTGTATTGGTATTGGTAGTATTCGAATCCTCACATCCCTACTTAGACTATCAGAAGGATCATTTCAATAAGGAGAGCCATTCGACAATTTCCTGTAGCTGAGT